TGAGTACAATAACAGACATAACAGAAAGAAAAAACGAAATAAAAAACACTTTAATTAGCCAAACAGGCCCTAACATCAACAACTAAATTATTTTAACATTATTTTAACAGGTAATATAAAGGGAGAAATGACTTCGTCTCAGATATATCACTACATGAAGTCACGGGGAAGAAACTGGTAGTCAGGTAGAAAGTACCCGACTTATTGAGCCATTAGACATGGCTAACACTTTTCATATTTCATATTTCCCTGCTCACATTTTTCATATTTCAAGTTTTTGTGTTTCCACAACCAAGTGCCATGCATGCTAATTGCTAAATGCGATTTTCTGAATAAGATGTGATATACCAGAATTTGCTGTTCTGCTGCGGAGGTGCTTGAACTTGGTACCTCCTGCTTTTGCAAAGCTATGGAAATCCATTGAAGAAGGAAATGTCAAAAACCCTTGGATAAATTCATGATAATAACTCTTCATCAAATAGTATAGGAATTGACATATTACAGAACAATGCTTCACTAACCTGTGTTGTGGTTGTTGTGAGGCTGAATCTAGGAGAAGCCACCTCTTGGTCAGACCATTTTTTTATAAATAAAACAAAACATACATTTTATAACAAAATGTAAGCATTTTGGGTTAGTATTTCAAGGTTTACAAATGAATAAACAGGAACGTACAGTTGTCCTTGATTCCATAGCTCGCTGTAGATTTTTGTTATCATCCAAGAGCCTAGAAATCTCTTTGTCCTTCTCCTCCATCATTCTATCAGCAATATCACGAAATGAATTGTGTTCTTCCTACAAGTTACAAATATCATTCATAAATTGCATGTAATTACATAACTTAAGAAGTGGACCTTCAAGATAAACAAAAACAGCGCATGGTACCTTCAACTTCTTATAACGCACGTTGAGCTCTTTTAATTCCTTTTCTAGATTTTCCCTAGCAGATGTATCATTTTGAGCCTCTAATGCCTCGCATCTCACTGCAAAAATATCAGTCCTGGTCTAAATCTATGTATTCATTTTGAATTCATATAGACAACAATTACAATAATGAACATTTTTAGCTCAAAAGGGATGAATCACATCGCCAAGTTTGCTCCAAATTCTCAAGGTTTTTCTGCCATGCTTCTTTCTCTGATTGGTAGAAAGCATTAGCAGCATCAAGCTTCATTTCTGTGATCCTAATCTGCTGCTCAGAATCACTAAGAGCTGCATCTCTGAATATGGAAAAAAAATGTATAAGATGATTTTTAATGTAGTTCACAATGTTGAACACAATAGCCGAAGTAAAGAAATCAAAAAGAGCATTCTTTCTTTGCAAATGAAACACATTTACATCAGGACGCTTTAGTAAACTACGCTTGTTGAAAAATATAATTAGTTAAAAGAAAGTACAATCATGTATGGATTTCTATCAGCTGATAGAAAAACATAATTCTGTGGCAGCAGTGACAAAGCAGATCCATGTAGAGAACTTTTAAGAGAAAAGGAATATGAATGGAAATCCTCTTCCACAATACTTGTTTCTTTAAGAAAACATGCCAAAAAATTCAATAATTCTATTCATTAGTTTCAGTCAATGATTTCAAGTAAGCTAAATTTCCCATATCTCAATGAAACCATCCAAATTTTATTAAGACTTTAATGTTTCACAGTAGGCAATAAGACAACCCTCACCTGGCTGAAATCTTTTTGATCAGTTACTAGTAAAAATTGTATCATCAGAAACACATGTAAAATACAAGATATACAGTCTCTCTACAGAAAATGGCAGATCGATTGAGCTGTCTCAAGTTGCCCCTGACTCTGCTCTGATAGGATCCCTTATACAACAAAAACTATCCTTTATCCCAGTGGGTATCAACCACTGAGGTAAAGTTGCTCTCTACCTGCCCATTGTTTTGCTAATACATCCACAACAGAATCAGCACTTCTTTTTACCCATCTCAAGTTTACTTCCAAGTCATGTCAACGATTTGTATTTTCTCCTTTTTTGATCAATAACAGTAATTTTCATTAAAGATTAAAGAGGAATAAAAATACAAGAAGAGGAAGGGTAAACTTTCTTAACTCTCCTCAAGAAACTTAAACATTACAATTGAGCCCAAACAATTGACTTCTTCCCACCCCTTGTTTTGCTAGAACATCAGCAAAGGCATTAGCAGTTCCTTTAACCCAACTAAGCCTAACATCCATATTTTGTGTCAGCCACTTTCCTCTCATTTGTATTTTATCCTTTCATTATTATAGTTCCACCATCTAGCTTCCCCCTTTTGCAACCAACCCACCACCAACTTGGTATCTCATTCAATAATCAACTCTCTAATTTCTATTGTTCATATCCTTTGACCTTTGTACACCTTCTGTCAAGCCATAAGCTCAGCCCTAAGAGAATCTCAACCAATTGAGCCTAAAAAGTGCAATTCTTCTGCCCTCCTCATCTTTGAAAGGTCATTCCAATACCAGAGACACACGGGTTCCCTGCACTACTTCCATCAAAATTAAGTTTGATAAATCCACCCGGAAGTGGAGACCAAAGGAAACTTGTAGCAGCCTTATAAGGGGCTGAACCAGCCACTTCCTTCCAACTTCTAATCAAGTCATCTGCTGAAATGTCATCAAATATTTCCAAGGATCTTACCCAATGAACCACCCTAATGTTAATGGCCTCAATAGCAGCTTCTACACATTAGTACATTACTGATAAAAAATGCTTCTACACCTCTCTCCTTTTCTGAAAAATTTCTCAGATTTCTTTCTTTCCAAACAGTCCAGCAAACAACGGCTCTTGTAAATCTCCATATCATTCTTCCCCTTTTCTTTGCCCAACCAAAATCTGGAGAGTCAAACAAGCTTTGCAAATTTGGTGAGGGATTCCACCTACACCCAAACAAGGAGAGAAACAATTTCCAAATATAATAAACAAAGGGGCAGGAGATTAATAAGTGATAGTCAGTCTCACCATTGGCCTTGCAAAGAAAACACCAATAAGGGGATATGCACCAATTGGGTCTTTTTCTTTAGAGTAGATCATGGGTATTTATTCTTTCCAAGAAAGCTTCCCAACAAAAAACCATAAATCCCTAGGTTTCTTGTATTGCTCTTTTTTGGTTCTCTTTAATGTAATTTTTTAAAGTTTATTTCTCCCAATTCAATCTACTAGAACACCTTACTCATCTAGTTGAGATTCCAAAACATCAAAATGTTCCTAGTCGCAAACTATTATCTAAATGGCATCTTTCAAACTATTAATGCTTTGTTGGAATTGCTGACGTTACCATTTATGACCAACCTAGGAAAAATTCACCAATAGGAATGCACCGAAGTGTCTAAAGTAGGGATGCAAATTGCAATGAAGCCGAGCTGAGCCGAACTTCTATGTCTTTGCTCAATTTGAATAAAATACTAAGCTTGAGTTTGGATCAATAACTCGAAAATGAATATATTTATATATATCATATTCTTATATTATATATAGAATATAAAAATATATTCTCATGATGCATATTATAAAATATATTTTTATATTCTATAATATGTATATATATGTTAATCGAGCCAGGCTCACAAACTTTCGAGCCGAACTTTTTATTTGTCAAGCTCGAGTTCGAATAACTAATCGAGCTTACCTCAAGATTTGAACTAGACTAGAATCAATTTCAAACCAATCCTAATTGAACTCGAGCCCAAACAATTTGATTGGAGCTCGATTCGAATGCAGTCCTAGTCTAAAGATCCTCCAATCCTTTACATGCCTAAGTTCCCTACCAATGCCACATTCCCTTGAGAGGATTGGATATAAAGATATTTAAAGCCCAATAATCCATGGCATGAAAAATTCTTTTAACATTCCTAAGGTCTCATTCGAATTTTTTTAAACCCCTCAATTTTCTCCAAGTGGAGGGTGGGCCACTTTAAAATTTTACTAATCCAGTCATTGTATTGAAGATAAATACAAGGTAGGACATAGCCTACCTTGCCCCAACCCATGTACAAGGTGTACTCATCTTTATCAATAAACCCATAAATAAAAAGGAATAATAAATTAATCAATCCCAACCCTAGGAAGAAAAAGGTCATTGAAAGGATGTAAGTGAATAAGACATGGAAGAGAGTCTCAATTATCAAACACCATGTTGGATAGATTATCAAAGGCATTATTTGCCAATGTGTCTACAACCGAGTTCCCTTCATGGAGTACATGAGAGAAAGTAATCTGGAAACCGTCCAAATAAGAATAGACATCATCCAACCAGCTAAGGATATTCCAAGGTGCTTGAGCTTTTTCCTTGTAGAATATGAATTGACACCTAGGAATCACTCTCAACTTTCACTATATGTAGATCGACAGCATTGCAAAAAGAATAGCATCCAGTACAGCCTGACATTCAGTTTCCGTATTAGAGCAGTGCCCATAGAACTTGGAGAAGGCAAACACAAACTCACCATGATTCCCTCTAAAAATACCACCACCTCTTGAAATACGTGGGCTTCCTATTGAAACCCCATCAACATTTACCTTGATCCACCCTCTTTTTGGAACTGATCAAATTCTTATGCGAGTTTTCTTCCTCTTCGTCCAAATAGCTTCTACCTTTAAGACTCTTAATAAAATAGCATTAGAAAAGGACAGCTCCCACAATGAAGGAGCTCAGTGTAGCTACTAGAGCCAAAGCCAATCATATATTCCTTGAATCACCAATCCCGAAGTTTTGGCCCTATCCTCAATTCTCCTAGAGCACCATTCTTTCCAGATTTCCAATATAATAAGGATGGTAGTGGTAATAATTTTCATCACCCATGAAGACTTAGACATCTCAAAGGACAAACAATAAAGCAACCTTGAACGAGTTGTTTGAGTGGCAATGAAAGGAACACCCGGCAATTTGTCAGTGCCTACAATGGCTTTTGTTGTGGATCTGTGTTGGTTCTGTGCCCTATGGGTGGGGCTTTGCAGTTTGTTGGTAATTATTATTCGGGGTTTGTTTCTCTAGTGATTCCCTAAGTAGTGGGATGCATCCTTCTACATATTTGTACCGGGGGGTGCTGTTGGTTTTTGCTTTTGGCTTTTCCCTCATTTTTGTTTACTCTCCATGTTGGTATCTTCTTTCTCCCTCCTTTTACTTTGTAGTTCTTGCTTCCCTATAAAATAAAATAAAGTAAAATGGAATATTTGTTACAAGTATCTGGTTTTTATGCTACAAGTATAAAGATGATAGGAATGACCAAACAAATAGATGTGGTAGTATTGAAAGATAACTAGATAATGAAGATAAAGAAAACATATTCAGATGAAAGCACTCATATTACAAACTCTCTAAGATTATCACCTTGTTGCAAGCTCTTTATCATGATTAGCCAAAGCATCCTGAAGATCTTGAAGGGCCCTATCTCTTTCTGCAGATGCCAGTGCCACTTCTTTCTCAGCTTCCTAAGGACAGAGGCAATGTGATAAACCAGAAGGAACAGTACAACTTTTCACTCAAATTAGACCAAGTTTATCATAAGAGTATGTACTTTTATGGCTTCCTCTTGAGCTTTGAGTTGATCAGTGTCTTTTGCTGCAGCTAGTTCTGCGTCCTTTTTCTGAAGAAGCGCATGGGCACGGATCTTGTATGAAGAAAATTCACTTTCTAAGCGGATGATCTGCAAGATATAAGCAAAGTGAGGGAGGAATCCATATATTAGGACAGTCAATAAATCAAAAGGAGCCCTTCATCATTAAACTACTCACATGTGGTTTGGTGCCATAATGTGGTGCTATTACATAAATATGAGAATACCAGATGAGGCTTCCTTAATAAATTTATTCTAGTGAGAAGAAGATGGCATATCATGTACTCTAAGCTTAGTAATGGGAGGTTAGAGAAATGTTAATGACACAAGACCCCCCCCCTCTTATACCAGTAACAAGTGCATCATACACCATATATCTGAAACAGTCAGTCCAGTTGGCTCCTTCAGACAAGGTATGAATGTATGATAGTAAGGTTCATACGGCCAGCATTAGAATGATTAACTCATTGCTAAAGATACTGTTTATATGGGCCAAACTATCAAGATCAACTAATATACCCAGGACAGCTTGGGCATGATTCGACTTAGAGGTACTTACCAACCCAATAATCAAGCATGGGCTCAATGTAAGGCAAGGTTCATGAGTTAACAACTGGCATTGAATTCTAAAGAATTATAACCACGCCCGTATCTAGATTCACATTCAGCCCCTGAAAGCTTATCATTGGAATGGGAAGAAGCAAGTTTGGGCATGGCTTAGGTCCAAGTGCCAGGTGGCCCAAGTCAGGTTATTAACACCCAAACCTTTAAATGCTAGATAAGGTGAATATATGCATTGGCTGGCACTGGGTAAATGCCTTTCAGTTACAGAGTGCAGATTCTTTGGAAAATGAACCACCATGGCAATAAGCATCAAAGCTCAAAACAAAAATGCATGGCATGAGCTATATATAAAGCTTGTAAATGTCTCAGATTCACTATCCTAGATCTCCTTTGTTATTTTCATACATAAAATTTTTATTCAGTTGTGGCTTCATAATTTAACAATGGATATGGTACTAAACGTATTGGACAACTTGGATACGGATACGCTTTGGAAACGCATGGATACGGATGAAAAATATGGAAATGCTTGGATACGCTAGGGAAATACATACAAATTCCATAAATACATCAACAACACTAAATTTAAAATCAAATAGTCACAAAATAATATAAATACATAGGAAATGTATATTAAAAAATATATTACAATTAATATAACGGGATGCATAAATATCATACAATGTTATTGATAATGCATCAATCAAGAGTCCATGACACATAACATATGCGCCATAGTTGTCAAAGCGACTAGGCGATTTTTAAAAGTGGCCCCGCCCAACGCCAAGTGTTTTTTGTATTAGGCGCTCATGCATATACATATTATATAATTTTTTGAATGCCTTTATATATATTGTATCGTTTTATTGGTTGGTTTTATTTTATTAGAATACATCCTATTGTATGTTATAACTTTTTTATAAAGATAAATCTTTTTTACTAATATGAAAGTTTCTTTGGGTTTGAGTTCTGAACTGAGACTGAGAAGAGAAACCGAGGACTCAGTCCAAGTCATCATCATTCTTCTTTTTTGGTCCTTAAACAGTCCAATTGTTCTGTGGTCCGCTTTTTTTCTTACTTTTTTGGGATGAAACAGGGGCTCTGCCTCTTCAACCTCCTCCTCACTCCTCCTTTCTCAAATCAACCTAGTACTCCAGTACTTTATTTTCTAATTTTTTCAAAAAAACTTTTGGAAATGAAACAGGGGTTCCACCCCCTTCTTCTTCTTCTTCTTCTTCTTCTTCTTCTTCTTCTTCTTCAACAAGCACTGCACCCCAACTTTCTAAAACTTTCCTATATTTTTTTTTTATGAATGAATGGTATTTTATTAAATAGAGATAGATGAAGCACCCTAAGAGGAGGCACGAGGTGTTACCTCCCCTTAAAGGTGGTTCCAAACCCAACTCTTTTCAGATTGCAGTTACAAATTAGCCAAAAAACAGAGAATCCCTTGAAGCCCCTTGTTTAGCTAAAGAATCAACCAAAGCATTTGCTGATCTACTAACCCACTGAAAGCTAACTGACATGGTTCTCGTAAGCCATTTGACTTTTTTTGATGATGTCCCTATATCCCCAAACAACAGTTTCTGGGTTCGACATCCATCCCATTATCACCTTAGAGTCTCCTTCAACTATCAAATTAGTCACTCCAAGTTGGTCGGAAATCTGTGGTCCTTGTACCATAGCTAATATCTCAGCCCTTGTAGAGTCTCCATAACCCACTGGACCTGAGAATAAGGACAAAATGTTGCCATCCTTATTCCTCAAGATCCCTCCTATACCCGAAGGTCCTGGATTGCCTTGACTTCTCCCATCAAAGTTCAACTTTACAACTCCTTCTGGAGGGGGTAACCAACTTGCTTGTATTCTATTTTTCTTGGATGATGTGGAGGCCACTGCTGCCCAACTCCTTCGAAGGTCATCACTAAGGTAATCCGCAAAAAGATCAGTAGTTTTTAGCCAAAGGATTGCCCTTGTTAGTATACAATCCTTTATTTCAGAAATGCTTCTCTCCTCCTGGAAACTTTGGCATTTCTTTCCTCCCAAATGGTCCACAAGAGGGCTGCCCTAATACATTTCCACATTACTTTCCCTCTCTTTGTTGGCCAACCAAAAAAAGATGGATCAAAAAGTAGATTTATTTCAGGAGGCAGGTTCCACCTGTACCCAAACAGCATAAAAACCCAATTCCAAATATTTACTGTAAAAGAGCGAGAAATCAGTAAGTGATAACAATCCTCATTCTGCACTTTACATAAAATGCACCAATTGGGGGACAAGCATGAATAAGGTCTCTTTTTTGTACATTATCCACAATATTAATTTTACCATAATACACTTCCCAACAAAAACCAGCAATTTTGGGTGGAACTGGCCTTGACCAGACTTCTTTAACTGGGAACAACAAAGGGGAAGGAGTAGAGCAAAGGGACTTAAAGAAGGAAGAACAAGAGAAGGATCCACTCGAGGTCAAAGACCGAATTCTTCTATCTGGTTTAGGAGGGTCTAAACAAACAAAATCAAGTAAAAGTAAGAGCTCAGAAGCAGAAACTGATTCCTCATCCCTCAACCCTCTATGGAACCCAAAATCCCAATTAAGAGACAATGGGAGAATGGGAGGAGAAAGAAATCTCGAAACAAGCTCCTTTTTATAGAGGGAAATAGAAAAAAGGGAGGGATAGAGGTCTTTTAATGGTTGGTTGCCCACCCAAACGTCTTCCCAAAAAAGCACAGAATTACCATTGCAGACATCATACCTTATGAACTTGAGAAATTTTGGGAGGATGCCAAAAATTGCTTTCCAAGGTGTAGTGACTGTGGCCCGTTGAGATACCCCAACATCCCAACCAGATTCAGAACAACCATGGATACTAACCACCACCTCATGCCACAATCTCTCTCTTTCCAGAGGCCACCTCTATAACCACTTGCCCCAAAGAGTTTCATTCTTATTTACTAGGTTCCCTAACCCTAAGCCCCCTTGTTCCTTGCTTTGACTCACCATCTCCCGTCTAATCAAATGATCCTTTTTCTCTGCACCTAGTTCCCACAAAAAATCCCTCATCAACTTTTCTATCTTCTTGGCTTCCCTAACAGGTATCCTAAAAACAAACAAAAAAGTAGATGGGTAAGTTTGCGAGTGTGGCCCTAATCAAAGTTATTCTAACCCCAAGAGAGATGTAGTTCTTTTTCCAGGTCACTAGCCTTTTTTCAAACTTCTCTACCACCGAGATCCAAAACCTACTTTCCTTTGGATTTGCACCTAGGGGAAGTCCTAGATAGGTCAAGGGCCAAGTAGAAATAGGGCATTCTAAGCAGGCAACAATAGACTCCAACTCCCTTCCCTCCACATTTAGTCCCACCACACAACTCTTCTCAAGATTTATTTTCAGGTTTGAGACATTCTCAAATATTAGATTTCTCAGATTCCTTGCCCTCAACAAATTACATCCCTCACAAAAGATTATGATATCATCTATAAACTGAAGGTGGATAACCGAAACTTGATTTCTTCCTAATCTCCATCCTCTTATCAATTCAACCCTGTCTGCTATTGACAAAAGTCTATTAAAAACATCAACAACCAATGTGAAAAGGAAAGGGGACAATGGATCACCTTATCTCAAGCCCCTACATGCAAGGAAAAAATCCTTTACTACTCCATTTACTAAAACTGAGTAATGGCAAGACGTCAGACAACTACCTATCCACTTGCACCATTTATCCCCAAAACCACACTTTCTGAGCACCTCTAGCAGAAAACTCCAATCCACTAAATCATAGGTCTTTTCAAGATCCAATTTGCAAACAAAACCTTGCCTACCTAATCTTCTCATCTCTTCCACACTTTCATTTGCTATTAAAATTTGGTCAACTATTTGTCTACCATGAACAAAAGCACCTTGAGTTTGACTTATGATGGGAGGGAAGAGCCTTTTTGATCCTCAAAGATAAGAACTTTGCCAGTATCTTATAGATGCTTGTTAGCAAGCTAATTTTTTTCACTATTTTTTAATAATGCTTTTTTGGGACGAAACAGGGGCTCTGTCCCTTTATTTTTCTCTCCTTTTTCGCAGCATTCTTCCTTTTTATTAGCCTAAAACAAGACCTCCGTCACCTTAAACACAGTTCAAGTCTCTTACTCCTATTTTTCTTTTTTGCTCCATGTCCTCTAAAACCCTTATGTTTTTTTTTCTTTTTTAAAAAATATTTTTTTGTGAGCAAAACATGGGCTCTGCCCCCTTATTTCTCTCTTTTTTTTGTTACATTCCCTATTTTTTTGGCCTGAAACAGGTATGATGTATATGATGGCACCTAGGCGACTAGGTGTCATGTGACCGCCTAGGCTCACCTAGGCGCCTTGACAACTATGATATGCACATATTATATTTTAATTAACAAAAAGTCAACCAAATATTAAATTCTAAAATATAAATTAAAATATCAATTAATAAATTATAAAAATATATAGTCTCAATTTAAAATATATCAAATATGTTAAAATTTCTAAGATACATTTCATATGCCAATTTTTAATTACTAAAATAATTATTGCATTATTCATATTTTTGTTTCTATCATTTTTCTAAAATTAAAAACCATATTTTAATATAAATGTTGATTAGTAAACTTGATAAATTCTATTCAATATTATATTCTCAAATATTTTGTAAACACTTTTTATTTTTGTAAATAGTTAATATTTGTTATTTGTAATGTAAATTAAAATTTTAATTAATAATTTAAATATATATATTTTAAGTACTAAAATACTTATTCTATTATTAATAATTTATTTGCATAAATTTCTTGAGATTAAAATCATCTTTTAATTTTAATGTGGATTTGATAGATTATTTATTCTATTAGTTTATAAAATATTAATTTTGAATGTTGTTTTTAATTTTTAGTTGGAATTGTTAAGCATATGTATTATTTATTTGGATTACATGTACATGTAGATACTATATTTAATATAAGTTATTTTATTTCAATTACTAAGACAAATTAAGTTGGCTTAGTGGTTTAAGAGTTAATTCAACACACACATTGCGCACTGGGCGACCTAGGTTTGAATTGCTCTAACCCTCATTTTTTAGTAAAAAGGCATGGCGTATTAGTCCATATCGCATTGTATCGAGTTGATAGACACCAATATGGGCCGATATGCACTTGTATCGACCCAATACACACGATTGGCATGATACACCTCCAGTTGTAGCGTATCTCATGTCGGGTAGTGTTGATACTAATACAGTACGCCCCTATCAAACGTATCGTATCAATATTTAAATCCTTGGTTGGGATAAGGCTTAGATGATGATAACGGTGTGGCTTCATAGAGTTTACTAACTATGACATAACTATCAAATTTTCTTTCACCAACCTTGCATGCTTTGGACCTTCAGGATCCAGTTCAACCTAATAATCTGTGAGACAACCTAATTTCCCATGTCCACCAATATACATGCAAGATGACTAAAGCCCACTTCAAATAGTCATATCCATTAAGTTTCATAGTGATAACTTAGCTATCCACACTTTCTCTAGTAACTTCAAACATGGATGGAATCCATAATCTACTTGGAGTCGTTCCTAGAAGATTCCATACCAGTCTTGGATTATCAGAAAACCAAAAATAGAATAAAAAGCAACCCTAGGGATATGCTCCCAAGAGAAAACTATAACCCTATGCACAATGTATGACAGACCACTCCTATAGGGGCTGGAAGAAATAGGGGGAACTCACCCCAGAGGCTTAAAACACTCACTATATTCTGATCCAATAAAACCATAAATACCTAATTACCATTACTGATTTCACCCATAGGCTGCAGAAAAAATTCTTTGGCTTTTCTTGACTTTTTGGGAAAATCTTCACAAACCTGAATTAGTAATCCAAAAATCATCTAAAACCAAGTCAATAATTCTGATATTATTAGCTTCTTTAATATCATATGTAGACTATTGATCCTAGATCTGCATGAGTTTCAACTAGAAGGTATATGCAAGAGGGATCTAAGGATAGTGGGTTCCAATACCTTTATTTTTTTGAAGAAGGTAAAGTATACTAAAAATTAGAATAAGAAAATAGAGGTGAGAAAAGAAAAGAGAAACAAATTTGAGAGGGGAAAAAAGGTATGAGGAATACAGCCTCTCTCCACTATGTGTTGAGTAGGGGTGTACAATCTGTTGGTTTGGTTAGAACTGAGGACTTAACCGACTATTTGGTTTGACCATTTTCTTCAACCGAACTGATCCTAACTGAATTCGGTTCTGTTGGGCCCTGATTCCACATAAATGATAAACATTTAACACCTAACGAATAATTAATAATTAATAAGTGTTATTAATTAAAAGTTAAAATGGCCCCAAAACCCAATGGTTTTAATTAATTAGCTTTTATTAATTAAAAGCTAGAATAGGCCCAAATCCCTATGCCAATGGGGAATTGGCGAATTGGCCATTATATACAAACAAGTAATGATTAATGAACAATTAATAATTAATCTAGGTAAGTTAGAATAGGCCCAAAGCCCTATGCCAATGGGGAATTGTCAAATTAGGCGATTGACCATTATTTACAAACAATTAATGATTAATGAACAAATAATAATTAGTCTAGGTTTTAATTAACTATTATTAATTAAAAGTTAGAATGGGAAATTGCCAAATTGGTCATTGGGAAATATAATAATTAATTAGCATAAAGTATTAAATATAACACTAAATATGTAATATACTTAATTAAATAACAGCGCTAATTCGGTTTTTGGTTCGGTCTGGTTGAAAATTTCAGCCAAACCAAACCGAACCGAAAACCGAAAACCGATTTTTTAAAAAACAAAAACCAAACCGAACCAATACCCAAATTAACCGAACCAAACTAGCTTATTTGGTTTTGTTCAGTTCGGTTCTCTTCTCTCACAATTCTCCCTTCTCTTCTTCTCTTTTGTATCTTTTTTTTTCTGCTGATTTCTACTCTATGTATACAACTTCATAACACAATGGAAATGACCAGTATGCCCGTGGTCATTTACTACCCATCTCCCTTGGATTTAAGAAAATGAACAAAATAAATAACATTGGAAATACCCTTAAATATATTTAAATCTTTCTTACATTAAAAGAGTTTTTAAATAAATTAAATCTAAAATGCTACAACACCATAACACATAGAGGAAAGAAAAGTTTACAACATGGTTTTTGAACATGTGCCATTTTGAATACTTCTAGTTAAATTCATACAAATAGAACAATTGTACCCAATCATTTAGATGTGTTATATCATTATGCTACATCTGTTACATTATAATAACAGCATAGTTTAAATTCACAAAAAAAATATATAAATGTAATAAATATGAATATGTTTATTGCATTTCTTTGCAATAGAGGAGATACTGCTTCGTGATTGAGGTCTACATGTATTGAAAGTTTATTTAAATGTACAAGTCGGATGTACTCTCAATCTGCAAGAGGCGTGTTGAGACATACATTAGTTGTTAATAACTTCATATTTATATTCCCACAAAGTACTTCCACATTCTTAGGGACCAAGATTATACTGAAACCAAATTGTAAAATCTTCCAAGAAAAAAGATCTGATACCTCCTCCCTGGCAGCTGCTAGGTCAGCATCTCTTGTATTTAGGAGCTGGTTTTGCACAGACAATTCTAGTTCCAGTTGACCTGGCCATAAGAAAGATAAGGAACTTAAAATTTTCTTCTACACATAGTAAATCACACAATAGTATAGTGTACAATCTTGAAAATACTTTTTAATTTGGCTGCTTCAATTTCAGCACGTATACAGCTATTCTCAGCAACCTCCAGCTTACTTTTCAGTGCTTGGATAGCATCTTCCCGGCTTTCTTTTTCTTTTTCCTGAATAAATTGGGCATATGAACAAGCTATGAAGTCATCCACCCATCCCTTGACAGAGTTAACAGTATATGTCTTATTGATGTATAGTTACAGATCAGATCGAAATGACAGCTTGTCAGTTTCAACTTTCAAGCACAAAAACTACGAGTTTTCATAAAAAACTAAAAAATGTTATTTATCAAGTAGAAGCCTTGCATATTCAGTCAGATACATTCAAATGATAAATATGTAACCCTGGAACACAAATAGTAGAAAGCTTTAGAAAACCAACAATAAGCTTTATTTATAAGCTATGATCCTTTCAGACACTGAACTAAGAACAGGGGGAAAGAAATACAAGAAATGAAAACTGAATGTTCTACATTCATGCTTGCAATAGAACTGCATTCAGAGTAGTTGTACATTGTAAGAAAGCATATCAAATCAGTTGGTACAACATCAACTCAAAAGGTCATCTGATTAATATGTTCATAAAGTATCTTGAATAAAGGAAATCTCAAGACATGAATTGAAGGCTGATTTAATGGTACAACACACTGCATTTAGACAGATAGGGACAGATATTAGACTGCAGGTGCAAAAGGATGCCATATTGGACTTCTCATAAGTAACAATCATGTTAATTACTACTGGCATTTCATTACATTACACAACATATTCATCCAAGTTATTTCTTCCTAACCCAAGCAGATACCCCCAAGAATGGGACAGAAGAAAATGTTGTGCTTTTGGTATGTAACAAATTGCAGAGTAGATAAAATATTTAAGTAAAAGAAAATATGATGATATGCCGCTTGCCCCATTATGTCATACTAAAGAAGAAAAGTATGACATAATCAGAGATTGTGACAGAAAAGAAAGATATCTCCTAAAACATCATTAACAAGGTTCAATATCAACCAAAAATCTGACCTAGACGCAGCCCTGTTGACACCTTCAAATTCAGGATGGACCACCATCCAATCCACTAACCATGATGCAATATCAACAATTGTATGGCTGGAAACATTCATTTTTAGACAAGAATGATACAGATAACTGGAATTCTTTTGCAAAGAGGTTTTCCTTATCTTCTCCAATATCACCCCCTCTCCATTGCATTCAAGAGCAAGCAGCATACTGCTAAAACTCCCCGTCCAGATTACCCATTCAGAAAACACCATTTGGCAAGAAAACTAGCTTAATGAAGATCTACAAGAACACAAGAAGCCTCCAAATTTCTCAATTGACAACTCCCCAATGCAAAAGGCTGTGGTCAGAGCCTCATCAAAGCAACAATCAAGGACCCCTGCTGAACCAGGAGGTTACAATTAGATGCATTTATTTATTTTATGCCACCATTATCAAACAAATGTTCAAACCTGCAATTAATATATGGTTCGTGAGATTAGGGATAAGATTTGAGCATTGAGCCCCTTTCAACCACAGTAGAGAAAAGGGAAACCAAATGCAACAGCTGTACATACATCCCATCTTTTTTTTTATGAATGAAGATAATTTTATAAAACCAGAAAAATAAGGCATTACGGGAAATCCATGGAGAGGCACGAGCTGTTACCTCTCCTAACAAGGTATTACATCAAGTTAAAACATGAATAAAGTTACAGTGCTGCCCAAAATAAATGTTCCCTTGAAACCCCTGGCTTAGCTAACCCATCCGCTAAGGTATTTGCTGATCTTCCACCCAAAGAGAGGTAACAGTCATGCTCCTTGTGAACCAATTAACTTTCCTCAGTAAGTCTTTGTATCGCCATATAGCTGAGCCTGGATCTGTCAGCCATCCCACAACAATTTTGGAGTCTCCTTCAATTACCAAATTCTGAACTCCTAATTGTTCTGCAATCTGAATACCTTGTACAGCCACTAAAATCTCAGCTCTATTAGAGTCTCCTATTCCCGTGGGGCCTGAAAACAAGGCTAGGATGTTGCTATCCTTATCTCTCAGCACCCCTCCTATCCCCAAAGGACCTGGATTTCCTTGACTGCTACCATCAAAATTCAGCTTTACCCAACCTTCAGACGGAGGCACCCACACTGCAGATATCCTGTCCTTCCTCGTATTACTATTAGCCACAGCTATCCAGTTTCTCCAAATATCATCAAAAGAAAAGGTATGAAAGGAATTCACAGTTCTCAACCAATGAATGGCCCTAGTCAAGATACAATCTTCTACAGCCCGAATGCTTCTTTCCTTTTCTTTGAATAACCTTGCATTTCTTTCTTCCCAGATTGTCCACAAGGCAGCTGCTCTAATACATCTCCACATAGTTCTTCCTTTTTTTGTAGGCCACACAAAAAAGGAAGGATCAAAAAGTCGACTTATGTCTGTGGTCAGATTCCACCTGCACACAAACAAAGCAAAAACCCATCCTTCCACCATGGCTTGAAAAACAAATAAGATTTCTTTCAGTAACAAGTGGAGCTCCCAGACCTATTAAGTGAGCTACATACGTCAAGGCCATAGGAAGGCATCATATCCCAACCTTCCGTCCAACCCCTCTCCCAAAAGAATTCCTATCTTCTAAATGTTGCCCCTTTGTGAATCACTTCTCTCAACTAGGTTCCCCTTTCTCTTCAGAAGACAAAACTACCTATGAAAGCCCACAGCCCAGTCCTGTTTTGAATCAGAATAATTGTGCATGTTGCGTCATTATTACCTTTGAGTGATAATAGAATCTATACTTTACAAGCATTTCTACAAACACATATGCACATGCCATGTCAACATCGTTTTGTCTGCCATTACAATCACACATACATCTCATGTCATGAAGTCCAATAAAAAATTTAAGAGAAAGTATCAAATAATGCCTGCCTATAAATTTAAAGCAACAAGATGATGATATGGAGGCACTCAAACCAAAAGCTCCAGTCATACATGCTCATTTTTCAATTGAACAAGCTCTCCTTTTACTGTCTCCACAGAAGCTCGAAGTCTTGCAGCTTCACCAGTTGAAGCTGCATCCATCTCTGCAATTTTAGATTCCTTCTCAGCTACTAGAACCTGACAAAACAGAAACAGATTCACCATAGTTTAGGTCAGTTCACAATTTGGAAATTGGTACAAGAACATGAAGAGTCCACATTTGCTCTGAGACTACAATATGGAAGATAAGAGGGATAGTGACAAAGGTGATTAAGATAGCCCCTATATCCATCATACCATGATGTTCTGTAATTTCAGCAGTATGAAATATGTTTCACGCACAATCAAAACTATGTTATGTTTGTACAATTCAAGCATGATAGCCATCTAATTGAAACATGTATACTACTTAAATTCAACAATAGAAAAATACGAGGCAGTAACCAATATTCTGAAAATTGTAATTGTATTGTAAACAATAGATTCAAACCAAATCTAATCATGAACCATAAGAGTTTCAATTTTTTTTTTTAAATGTATATACTAAAACATGGATATATATATATATAAGAGAGCTATTTTACCCATTTTTAAATCCATATTCATCATATATGTACTTACTACAACAAAGCTTATCACTTTTACACTAGAAGCATAAGCTGATATAACCTAAAAGTCAATCAACACACAATTAATGGGTCCTTAACCTAGAAATGATTAAAGGCCCTTGAAGAAAATTAGAAAGAAAAAAAAAAAAAAGTGGAGAACTAGGTCCCAGTTGGATAAATTTGAATGACATGAATATATATGATGGGAATCTTCATTTAGCCCCACCTCACAATTTTTTACTTCACCATACAGTTGGGAACAGTGATAAGTGGGGGGAATTGATGCCAATATGTCATAAGTGGAGGCGTTGGAAGTTTTGAATTGTTGTGTGTGTACAGTGAAGTAAATCATACTATTCAAGAAATCATAAGATTTTTTATGAGTAATAAGAAGCATTTTATTAAAATCAAGTAAAAACTATCAAAGGATACAGCATGAAATTCCAAGAGGTGTGAGATGCAGCCTCAAAAACAAAACAATATTCAAGAAAACACAAGATTCACATAATAATCATAAGATTTTTCCAGAAAAAAAAAAGATTCAAACCAGCTTAGGATTCACAATTTGAATCATAAAGAACAAAATTTTGACAACTATGGCTGGAAGCCCCCAATGTAAGATGTAGCAACCAATCGAGTAGAAACAAAACAAGACGTGGACCTATATCAATGAGTCTAACCTGTAGTGAAGATATTGTTTCAGCTGCTTTGTTTCTATCAGATATTGCATCAGCAAGTTGGGCTTCCAAGCTTTCTACTAACTGGAGAAAATAAAGATACGAGAAAAAAGATTATGGAGAAGAATCAGAGTCATAACTTGCCCAATGCAGCCATAAAAATAAAATGAGGGGAGAAGAGAATGACCAAATTCCAAAACTTTATAAGTAACATATGAGATGCATTTAAAACTCCATATTTTACCTTCTGGTGTTTAGCAGAAAGCTCAGCAATTGAATTTTGTCTTTTCTCATCTGCAGCTTGCAATAAGCCCCTCATATCTTCTAACATCTGTGCAAATATGAGTAATTTAATATGGTTTAGATGATCAATAGGTGTTACAATTTTCATTTTGACAATATTTCTTATCCATTTGGCCACAATATTAAGTCCAGTTGGTATTTAAATTTTAATCCACAAAAAAGCTAGTTGGATCTCACAATTAATCTACCCTTAGACACCAAAGATACACCAAGACCTTTATCCATTAAGTTCCTTTCCCTAACTATCCTTTTCACTATCCTACATCAATCTATTTTCTATCAATCCCCTTCAATCAAACTGCAGGGACTATGAAAAAAGACTTTTACTCCTGTACTAGACCATTGGATTTGTGTCTACAGATAATTGCTTCTGCAACTGTATCACCCAATTGCATATGCTTTGGAAATAGAGTTGTGCCTCAACCATACTCCTAAATGGCCAAATGATCAAAAGAATCATAAATTCCATGGGCATGGCAAGACGGAAATAAACAAAAGCAGATAACAGTTAGGTACAGCAGCAGAACACAATCATACAAAGTTAGAGGGAAATAAGAATGAATGAGACTAACATAATCTTTTTAATCAGTAACAAACTAACATGATTTATTAGAAATATCTAAAAATCTCTTTTTTTATAAAGAGATTAAGATTTCATTAACATATAAATTGAATAGAAAATATAAAACCTAGAACCATGGGTAAAGACTAAAGTGAAATGGTTCTTCAGGCAATTTAAATACAAAGACATTGAAAACAAGAAAAACAAAAGAACATCTAAACCATATAGAGGCATGTAAATTGCTGTTCTAAAATGTCAGTCATCATCTACAAAATTTCAGTTACTATGTAATACCCAAAAAAATCTACAAAATCTCAGTTTGTAATTTTTTTCAATGATATTATCCTTGCAATTGGAAATACTGAAAAAAGTGAAAATGCAGACATTCACAAACATCAACAAGGATATTGCAGGATATTTGTATGTACAGTACTTATGCATTGGTACACTTGCACTAAGAACAGTAAACCCTTCAAGAGTATGTTTTTAAGTTTCCAGTAAATAATACCAAGCCACAAGCATGTGATTTCAACAACATACTGGATATAAAGAGAGAATTCATATCCTCATGACATAGATCTGGGAGTATCCAAACCTGTTCTTTCTCTAAAAGGGACTGCTGCAAACCTTCAAGAGCATTCTCTTTGGCTTCCAATGAACGGCGCATTTCTTCAATGCTCTCACGAAGCCTAGAGGTTAATGAAACTGTTAGAAGAGGGAGACAAAAGATAATCCACAACTACACAACTTGGCATATGAGATCAATAGAGTTTTTTTCTTTTTTCTTTTTGATAGTCATATGAGATCAATGGAGATAGGAAAAGGTTTATGCATTGTCCATTAGAGAGTGGGAAGATATTGAACAAGAGAAGGCCTTCAAAGCAAATGTTCTAATTTTCTTCACAAAACCAGTGCTTTAAAAGGCACGCCTGCACATAGGCGAGGTGCATACCCAAAAATGTGCCTCACCTAGGTCCTAGGCCTCAGCCCAAGTGTGCACCTTTTGAAAATTTGACGCTTTTTTTTTTGTTCATTCATTCATCCTAATAAAATTTCTTAAAAAGCAATTAAAATTATAAAATCATTATTTTTGTGTGAGAACTAAGAGATAAGCAAGAGAGAGGGAGGCTAAGAAAGGAATTAGAGGATATCCTTTTCAAAGAAGAAATCACCTGGAGGCAGAAATCTAGGCAAACATGGTTAAAGGGATAGAAACACAAAATTCTTCCATGCCTTAGCCAATGGCAGGAGGAGGAAATTTTTCATATCCAAAATGGAAGTTGAAGGGGAGACTATTGATCAACAAATTGAAATTGCTAGTTGCCCTTGTTAACCATTTCAAGTCAATATTTAGAAAACCTCTCTGGAAGACTTTGTGTGGAAGGGTTGGAGTAGCCAAGAGTTGAGGATGATCAAAAAAGGTGGTTAGAAAGAAGGTTTGACTTGGAGGAAATAAAAGAAGCAGTTTTTTCAATGGATAGATCTAAAGCACCAAGTCCAGATGGCTTTACTATGGCTTTCTACCAAGACTGTCGAGACATTTTGAAAGAGGATATCCAAAAGGTGTTTGATGAATTTTTTAACAGAGGAGTAATTAACCCAGGATTAAATTCTACCTTCATCGTTTTGATTCCAAAGAAAGTAGGAGCAATACAACCTAAGGGTTTTAGGCCCATTAGTCTTGTTCACAACCTTTATAAAATTATTGCCAAGGTGCTATCAAGAAGAATTAGATCAGTACTTCCTTCTATAATATCCTTAAATCAAGGGGTCTTTGTAAGGATAGGCAGATCTTGGACCAAATCCTTATTGCCAATGAGAGTGTGGAGGAGCTAAAGAGATCTGGAAAGAAAGGCTTGATTTGCAAGCTCGATTTAGAGAAAGCTTATGATCTGGTGGACTGGGATTTCTTAGTAGAAGTGATGAGGAATTTTGGCTTTGGAGATAGGTGGTGTAAGTGGATTACGGGATGCATTAGTACTTGTTATTACTCACTCTTGGTTAATGACATAGTGGTTGACCACTTTCCAGCCATTAGAGGTATTAGAAAGGGGCACCCTCTCTCTCTATTCTTATTCACATTAGTAGCAGAAGTGCTAGGAATTCTTTTCCAAAGAGCAGATTTAAGGGGTTTGGTGAGAGGTTGGAGAGTGGGAAGAGAAAGAGTGCCTATTACTCATCTGCAATTTGCCGATGATACTGTCCTATTTTGTGAGGGAGGTGATCTAAATTGGGTGAGGAATATGAAGGAGGTGATACAAGTCTTTGAGAAAATGACAAATCTGAAAGTTAACTTCAATAAGACTTGTGTGGCAAGTATCAACATGGAAGATGAAGAAGTAATTGAATGTGCAACAATATTGGGTTGTGAGGTATGTCAGTGGCCTATGAATTATTTGGGTTTACCTCTAGGGGGCAACCCTAGAAGCGTGAATTTTTGGAACTCCTTGGTGGATAGATTATCAAAAAGGCTTGCCTCCTAGAAAAGGAATTATCTCTCGATGGGTGGAAGAATTACATTGATCAAATCAACTTTAGCAAATCTGCCAGTTTACTTTCTTTCGGTCTTTAGGATGCCTATAGGGATTTGTAGAAGGTTGGAGAAGATAATGAGGGATTTCTTATGGGAACCAGGAGAGGAAAAGAGGGATCATAGGGTGAGATGGGAAATGGTGATTAGAAATAAGGAGCTAGGGGGTCTAGAAATAGGAACATTCAAAAGAGGAATACAGCCTTGTTGGGTAAGTGGTTATGGAGATTTCAGATGGATCAAGACAAGCTGTGGGCAAAAGTGATTAAAAGCATACACGGGCTGACGGTAAATGGCTGGGACATAGGAATTTCAGCTAGAGCATCAGCAATAGCACCTTGGAAAGCCATCCATGCCATTCTTCCTTGTTTTCTACCCTTTGTCAGGTATAATTTGTGTTCTGGAAATATGGTAAGGTTCTGGGAACATGTGTGGGTGGGGGAGACACCACTTAAGGATCAATTCCCTTCCCTGTTCTCCTTTTCTAGGTACAAAAACTTAACCGCCTCATCTTTAGTTTCTTCTGTTGGTTTAGGACCTCAACTTAATTAGGATTTGGGTTTCACACGAGGTCTTAGAGATTCTAAGATGGAGTCGGTGTGGTCCCTAGTTCAGGTACTTCAAAAGGTCTTCTTAGAACCGTCAAGGGGGGATTTCCGAATTTGGACCCTTTCCTCTTCTGGCTCTTTCAGTTGTGCCTCCTTTTTCAATGCCCTGGCCCAATCTTCTCTTACTCTTGCCATTCCCTTCCCTTCTAAAGAAGTGTGGGGAAGACAGGTCCCATCTAGGGTCGGAGCACTCTGTTGGGAAATAGCTTTGGAAAGAATTAATACTTGTGATCATCTTCAAAAAAAGAAGCCTTTTCGATGCTTGTCCCCGCACTGGTGTACCCTTTGTAAAGTCGATGGTGAGTCTTGCTCTCACTTACTTATATCCTGTCCTTTTATTTCATCTATTTGGGAGTGGTTTCTCTCTTTATTTGGTTGCATGTGGACTCCCCCATCAAGCATTTGAAGTCTCTTCACCTATTCAATTGGTAGTTGGATCAAAAAGAGGGGAAAAATCTTGTGGAGGTGCACCAGGGCAGCAGTTTGTTGGACGATTTGGGAGGAAAGGAACCAAAGGAAATTTTCTAAAAAAGAAAGAAGCAGGGACACAATTATAGAAGTGATTTCTTTGAGGGTAGCACAATGGGTAAAAACAATCAACCTATTTGAGGATACTCTAATAGAGACCATTGTGAACAATTGGCAGGAAATAGCAGTCTCGGCTCCTAACAAAATCAATGCCCAGCCGCTGTGGCTCCCCCCGATGGAAGGTTTTATCAAACTCAACTTTGATGGGAGCAGTGAAGGAAATCCAGGGCCATCAGGGATTGGTGGTGTTTTTAGAACAGAGGCAGGTTCAGTTAAGGCTGCAACTTGGGCCAGATTGGCCCGATACCAACCCTAACCCAACCTGAAAAAGTTGGGTTGGGTTGGGTTGGGTCGGGTTGATGCTTGGGTTAGGGTTAGGGTTGAAATTTATGAACCCAACTTTATTTCGGGTTGGGTTAGGGTTGACCCCTCGGGCAACCCAACTCTATAGTACATATCATATATAAATATATGTTATATATATGATATCATACATTGATTTATTTATATGCATGATAGTTGTATAGCCCCTACTACATACTATCATTTATTTCTTTTAAGATAATCACTTCACTTAATCCTAATTGGAAATACCAAAACCTTAATAACATTTTTTTATGTTTTTGAATATTTTATTCTTTATCTCCTCTTTGTTGTTTGCCACCCATAGCTTACTGCCCATAAAGATCTATTGTAAGCTATAACTCATAATAAACTATAATAATTTAAAACACTTTTTTTTTAATTTTGTACTTAAAGAACCAATAAAAACATCGACAAACAAATACTAATAAAACATAGGATTAATATATGTAGTGAAAGTTGAGTTAAGATCTGAGATTAAGAAGTTCTACGAGATTTTAAGGGATGGGAAGAAGGTTGGGTTGGGTTAGGGTTGAAGGAATTTAGTTAGGGTTAGGGTTGGGTATTAGGGTTAGGGTTGGGTTGAAGGTTGGGTTGGGGGTTTAGAACTTAGGGTTGGGCTAGGGTTGGCCTCAACCCGACCTAACCCGGCCCAACTTACAGCCCTAGGTTCAGTTATAGCCTTTCTTCAGGACCAATTGGAGTTGGAGATTCATTGAGAGCAGAAATTCTGGCCCTCTTGGAGGGGGTAAAAAGGGCTAAGGAGTTGAATATAAATAGGTTGATTATCAAAGGAGATTCACAAGTGGTAACTGGCTGGATAGAGAAAGCAAATGATGGGTTATGGGCATACATTAATGAACGAAGGCATTTCAAGTGGTTAACCCAAGGAATGGATGTGCGTGTCTGGTGGGTTAAAAGATGTGCTAATTCATTTGCAGATGCTTTGGCCAAACAAGGGGTGGGGAGAAGTCAATTGTTTTGGGCTACACTGTAAATTTCCTTCTGGGGGTGTGGTAAGAGGGTTTACCTCCCCCCACCATTGTATTTTAAACTTTTTTCCCAATTAATGAAAGTTTTGTGTTATTGATCAAAAAAAAAAGAACTAAGAATTTAAGACCCTGACATGGACTTGTTTGGGCTTACCTCGAGGGATGTGGCACAAAGGCGGTTCGGAAAATCAGGAATGTAATATGTTTTACATCACATTAGCTACTTGAAGTAATGCAATTGAGGAAAAAAACAGATTGTGGATTTTACATGTTTGAAAATGTTTTATATGTTTGATTTTATTTTTAAATTCTCATTTGAATACGCTTTACATGTTATGTTTATGTATTTTAATTTTAGATAATAGGTTTTTTACTTTTTTAAAACACTTATTTTAAAATTTAAGTTTATATTTTTTATTAATATTATGGTTAATATTTTTTTTATTTCGTTTTTGCGTTTTTGGCATTTTTTTAGCTTTTTTTTTATTTTTGTGCTTCAAAAAGGCACGTGCCTCGCCTTGCTCCTTAGGTGCAAATTGACCCGACCCCTATGCCTTGCGGTTTTAAAACACTACACAAAACACAAATCTAAGGTGATAAACACCAGTTGGTCCTCCTTTGGAGAACCTCACAAGTATTGATTTTCAAGTGAAATAAATTCCAACAAA